TGGAAGAAATGTAGAGAAAGAAAATATGTGTGTGTTTGAGGGGCAGGTTAAGAGGATGTGCCTGTCATTAGTTCTATATTCTAATTATATCTACTACAGTGGTATTTAAAAAGATATCTTAATATGTTTAGTAGTCTTCGAAGTTTAGTAGTCTACTGTGATCTCAGATATCATGGTTTGGGGAGTTTGCAATTTATAATCATGATATAGTGAAAGTAGTAATATGCCTGTCATTACTTGTAATTTAATTTCTCCATAAAAAACACTCTTAAATCACCAGTGAGTTATTACACATTCGTGGGTCTGTTTCATTCATCTTGCCATTTTAGTGGCAGGCAACAGAACATTAGATATTTACTGGTGAAAGCTGTTCTCATGTACTGTTGGAGGCACAGAAAAACTCTCACTGGGTGCAGGTAAATATAGTATGCTAGGAAAAAGATCAACTGTTGGAACTGGGAGCTACATGGATAAAAGAAAGGTGAATATGAAATTTGCGAAAGGTGTATTACAAAATAACTATAAAATAAATAAACACTGTAACTGTATTTTTGGAGAAGACTTGTGTTATCATCACCATACCTTGCCACATTAATTTTTTTTTTCCAAACAATGTACACAAGTGAGGAAGAAATTGCCCTTACCACAAAGAAATTAAATGCAGTCCAAAGATCTAAAGCAAAAATACATTTGGCAAATAATTTCAAAATTGACTTTTTGACATTTAGTGTTAAATTTTAGATGACTCAAGGGGATTGAGAATCTTTTTTGGAAGAAAACATATAATATATAACCTCTCCCACTTTAAGTGCTGAAGAGTGGGATCTTAACATAAGATAAAATATTTAATAAGAATTCTGTCTCAGAAAGTAGTGTCTTACCAATTAACTTCTATTATTTGGTTCTCTGCTCCCAGTGAAGTCCAATAGAAAACATTGTTCTGATCTCTCAGAAAGATAAATTGGACTCTAAATTGTTAGCAATATTGGGAATGTAAGGTTTATGATCCAATAGCAAAAGAGTGTAGGAGACACATAAGGACATGTTTCTGAAGAAGACCTCTTGTTCTGAGAAAAATCAGTAGGCAAAAGGAATAAAAGATGCAGTTCAATCAACTTATGCTTCATGTGCTCTTCCAGAAGGTCAAATTCACATGAATCTGAAAGCAGGTTTTCTTTTTAAAAAAGTTATTTTCATCAGTTTCCCCTTTCAAATAATATGTACACTGATCTACAAACCGTATTTCTTATTGAACATCTATTGTCTGCATCCAGCAGCTAACTCCCAGAGAAATTATTTTAGAAAAATTATACCATGATTGAAGTTTATGTTAAATAAACTAATACATTAAAAACAAAAAAAACCCCACCAAACAAAATCTGTACCAAAAGGAGCAGGCACATTTATTTTCTCCCAGCATAACTGAGAAGGAGCAATTTTCTACAGGCTTCTAAGTCTGAATATATGCTTAACATTAGATTACTATGCAAAATAAAAATAAAACAAGTATTTTCTCTCCTTTTCAACTGATTAATTTTTGTTGTTTGCAGACTGCAAACTGGTTAATTTTTCAGAAATGCTTTCTGGAAGCTGGCACTGCTTCTATGAGCATACAATATATATATGTGAGAACTGCAGCCTAAGGAAGATGACTTCGTATTTAGGCATGCAAAGGCATAACCAGACATTTATTCTTTGTTTTCATTAAAAGTTCATAGAATGTTCTATCATTTTTATTAATTAAAAAAATAAAACATTCAAACAAAAGAGGTTTGATCAGAAGTTTATACTAAACCTGTAGTTTCTAAGATTGCAAACCAGAGTTATTATAAATTAACATTTTCCATTAAATATTTATTTTATGGAATTAATAAATAATAAAAAATATTATTTGTTTAAAATACAGGTAACCAGTATAGACATATTACACTGTTTCTGTATTAATGTGAATAATAAGATTATTCATAAGTGTAGTGGTTTGAACCAGGTTTTCCCCCAGAGGCTAAGAAAATGGTAACCCCTGGAGGTTTTGAAGTTTTGTCCAATCTGCGCTCCTGCGAAATGTAAACAAACCACAAGCAAACGGAAGAGGTTAGTTGTAGTTTGGTTGTAGAAGAGGTATGTTGTGAAAGCCACGAGTAGTGAGGGCAGGAGCCCTCTGGGGGCCTCTGCCCCCCCCCCCCCAGCCCCAGCTGGGGGGCTACGGAGACTTGGAACAGTGTTAGACTGGACTAAGTGTCTGTAGTTAAGCTGGGAGATGTTTCTCCACCGTGGGCAGCAGAGACAGAGCAGAAGCAGAGACGCAGCGTCCAGAGACTCTGGCCAAAAGCCAGCTGATAAGAACTGAACCGGAGAAGCAGCAGAAACAGCATGCAGCTGAGTAAGGAAGACACCGAGTTGTCTCGGAGAGCCGAGAAAGAGAGTCAGCAGCAGAGTTCCAGAGTTTGGGGTAAGAACTGAATTAAAAGACCCCAGACTCCTTTGAGACCCCTCCTGGAAAGGAGGAAGATGATGGACTCTTACTTGAAAGAGCCTTGGAGTGCTACAGCACTTGCAGAAAGGAGCTAGAGAGCTCCGAGAGGAATACGGAGAGGATGACGTTGGGGGCCCTCCCTTGCTGCAAGCTACAAAGAAGCTCACAGCCATCTTGAGGCAGGGCACAGAAGCTCTGCAAGGGGCTTGAGTCCCCTGGAGATACCAGACTGTCACAAAGACCCCCTGTGCTCGTGATATGACCATGGTGGAACAACCTTTGTCTGGGCTGACATAGCCCACGGAAGACCCCTTTGCCTGCGTCAAGGGGCCGAGAGAGGCTTGGAGGCCTCCCTCGTGAGTGCTGGCAGAGATCCAGCTATCAGCTGCTGCATGCATGAGAAGAAGAAAACCTGCTGCCTTAGGAGATACTCCTACTCAGAGACTAGAAGGGATCTGTCCTTCTTCCCTCCTGGACTTTTATTTGGAGGAGAGAAGAGATCTGATCCATTGTAAATACTTACGTCATGGTAGAGATAGTTGTGATCGTGTTTATAATGTATTATAATATTTATTTGTACAGTCATTGTAGTATATTCCTTTTCCCCCATTTGGAGTCTGGTGTGTTTTGTCTTGAAAAAAAACCCATCTCACATTGCATTGAGATGTGACAGGGGTCTAGGACTAGGGAATTAGATTTTGGGGATCTCAAACCATGACAATTTAGTATAACAATATTGAAATGTCTCAATTCAAAGTATACTTTTCTGTTTGATTTGCAAAGACCACAGTGGCTTCCTTTAGTATCAGGAATTTTGCAAATAAATCATAAATATTCATGAAATATTGGCAGTACTTATCTTTCAGTGTTTCAATAAATGATACAAGGAAGTAATTACTTAATCCTCTTAGTAAGAGAATTTTTTGCACTATTAATCCCATTTTTTAATACTGCAGTATCAATAAACATCTTTAGTTACTTTGTTCCAATTCCTTATCCATGAATTAAGCTATAATTTCCTGTAAAAAAATGTTTCAGGGTTTTTTTGCCAGTAATGAATTCTCATCACCTGCTTCAGTGGCTAGAATTTTTTCTCCTCTTTATCTAGAGTATTCATTCTCAGACTGTGATTTGTGAACCTTTAGCGATCTGTGACCTGTGAGTCTCAAAATAAAATGATCTGTGAGCAGAAGCTATTTGAGACTGGGGAGTTTGAAAGCATACTAAGTCTTTTGCAATGAGTATACTGCAGAATGAAAAACCTGGAGAACACATGGGTTTCAAAGATGCATATCTTAATTTTCCATTTTGGGGGAATAATCAGTTTTTCTCTTGGATTAGCATGATAATTCACTTTTTTTTAAATCAGAAATACTGTGCAATATTCTTCTTTTTTTTTCTATTGTTTCTTACATTTTGGGTATTCTTATTTAATTTGATATGAGTCTGGCTTAGAGTGACTAATAAAGACATTTATTAAACAAAAGCAGTGAATTATTGCTGGACTCAGTTTAAACTTCTGTACTGTATGCAAGGCTAATTGATAAAAATGTATTGTTATAAATAGAACAGAGAATGACTGTCCCAATTTCACCTATCAGCAACTGATACAAAAATATTTGCAACTATATGACCCTCATACTACTTTTTACTACATTTTCTGATTTGTTTAGGGGTTCAGCATTCTATTTTCATAATAGCTTTCATCATAAATACCATTTTTAACTGAAACAGATTATTGAACATTAGCGATGATGATATACATATGGTTCTCTTATATATCATCTTATACAGAATTATTTAATTTTGTTAATAATCTAAACTATGGTGTTTTGAAATTAAGATTTCTCTGAATTGCATGTCCTGTGTCTTTTAAAATTTTATGGATGAACTCTCCACCAGACTATATTTTTTAAATGGCTGTGAACAAAATTTTTTATGTGCTTCATAACACTGATCTGAGAAGAAAATTTTATTTTCTCACAATGCACTTAATAGTTGCTCCTGCCCTTTCATTTATCAGTGTACTGAAATTATTTCTCAAAAAAATTCAAGTTTGCACTGAGGTATTCTATACATACTAAATATTAACATCCAAGGAATAGCTTATATGTTTGGGGACTAATGTAAAATATGGCAAATATTAAAAAAAATTTTTATATACCTTGAGGGGATTAATACTGTTATTAAATTCTGAACTATGAAAGGCAAGTTACTGAAGATATAAGTCATATTTGAAGATACTATAAATTGATTTTTTTCTTTAGTGTGTCTGTGCTTATTAGTATTTCTCAATTCTCTGTCCCACTGAACTTACAAATACCCGCTATGGGAGAAAACCATTGTATGAGCTACTACCAGAAGAGCAGTTCTTGTGGATGATAAAATAAATTTCTTGTGTTGGATCCTTAGCAGTTGTTGACCATTCAAACTTCACATACTTTTAAAACCTGTGATGACATACACTCAGATATGTAATGAATATCAGTATGAAATGTATTAAAAGATTACATATTTTTCACTACAGGTGAAGTGCGATCAGTACTGGCCAAGCAGAGGCACAGAAACCTACGGACTAATCCAAGTAACCCTTTTAGACACTGTTGAATTGGCAACATACTGTGTTCGTACATTTGCACTTTACAAGGTATATATACTTACTATATACTTTCAAATTGGAAGGTTAGCAATTTTTTTCCCTCCCCTTCCTTCCTTCCTTTCTTCCTATCACTTTCTTCCTCCTGCCATCCCATCTTCCTTCTTCCTTTGCTTCATGCCTTCCCTGCCTGCCTTTTTCCCTTATTTCCTCACTCCCTTTTTCCCCTTCCCCTCTTTCCACTTTTCTCCCTTGTTTCCTGCTAACAGTGCTGAACAATGACTTCTTCTACAGAATGCATTTTCCTTATAACATGGAGTTTTGTAAGTTAATACAGAGCTCGCACCATGAAAAAAACATTTAATACTAACTAAAGCTCTGACACTTGTGATGCACAACTCTGCAATATATTTAAAGCTCTTACATTGTTTGAACCCTATAATTTGGATTTTCCTCCATAGCCTGAGTTCTGCTTCTCTCTGGCTTCAAATGTAGCTTAAATAATTTTCACTGGTATATATGCTTCTGCAGTTGTTTCATTGAAAAGTGCCAATATCATCTCAAGTGGCAGTTTTGTCATGAAAATTTTAAATTTTATAGAATGGTTCAAGTGAGAAAAGGGAAGTGAGGCAATTCCAGTTTACTGCCTGGCCTGATCATGGTGTCCCAGAACACCCAACACCGTTCTTAGCTTTCCTGAGACGAGTCAAGACTTGCAACCCACCTGATGCTGGACCTATGGTTGTGCATTGCAGGTAAGCCCAGAAGTTCTTTCAAAGCATCCTATGTCAAGATTACTGCTTTCTGTTTTGTTGCAGATGAAAACACTATTTTGTTGCAAAGACACTTCTAAGTCTGTCAAAGAGAAAGATGGTTGCATTGCAAATCGAGGACTTGAGCTTGGCACTACCAACTTGGATAGGCTAGAAAAATTTTATTTGGTCTATGCAGGATTAATTTAATTTTAAAACATCTAAAGATATCTAGGGAGAATGTCTACAGGAAGAATACAAATGTATCTACAGCATTCAGAATATGGCCAACATAATGTTGGCTTAAGAACCTGAATATTGAAAACGGTGTGTTTTGAGCTTTTGAAATTTTGTTGTGTGTGAAAGTAATGAACATGAGAATTAAGAAAGATAAATGAAAACTTTTATTGAAAATAGATAGGAACCCAAATTTGCATTCAAGCTTAAACCCTCAGTTTAGGACTTTGAGGAGCTGAAACTGGAAAGGATGTACCTGGGAACACGCTGAGCTCAGTTCTAGGGAAATGAGTGCTCCATGCTTTTCTTGCAGAGTAGAAATACTCTTCAGGCTTTATAAGGTATGAATTAATAAACTCTCAAGAGAAAAACATTAACTACTCCTAATGTTTTCAGAGTAAGGCAAATTAAATGGAAGAGATGTGGATTCTTTGGAAATGTTTGACAAGAGCAGATCTTTTAGACAGCCTTAAAATTATGTTGATAAGAACATTATCAGAACATAAATACCAATTCTGATAGAAGTAAACTGTAAGGTGGGTTCCAGTCATTCCAGGGCTATGTTGCCAAATCTTACAAGCTTACTGTGTAGCCCTGTTCAAAGAAAAGTCCTAAGATTACTGATTTTTGTGATCTTCATTTTGGAATACCTTTAGTTAGTAGGGCTGAGAGGTACTACACCCTTTTCTTGAAGTTACAAATGCTCAGCATGTTTGAAAACCAGTCTTGCTTTTGTCATCCAAAACCTGAGGTAATTACAAGGATTACAGCATACCACCACCTCTAGTTCTGACTTCTTAAATATTGGTAAGTCGGGCACAGAATCTGGCAATTTGCACACTTTTAAAGTGATTGAAAGAGGCTCCTGTAAATGAGATAAGAAAATAAAGTCAACAGCGAAACAAAATAAGCAGAATTCAATATTGAAAGGCACAGACTGTTTAGAAGATATAATAGAACATGGAAGACAAATATTTAATGTTTATTGAAACACCAGGATTAGGAATGTGGAATAAATTGTGGAATGTGGAATAAATATAAATAATAATACAAATATATTTTAAAAGTTTGCTGAGTATTTCCTGAATGGAGCCAAATCTCTTTGTACCTGAATTTATAGGATCTTAAAACATTTTGATTATTGTCTAGTATTGTAGATTGTCTGAGCTATAATTTCATTAGCCTGCTATACTCTAAATCAAAACAAAACTTAATAGAAGAAATTAATCTTCCCACTCTGGGAAGGCTGTTAAGTTAGTGTAATTGCCTAAATTCTCTCAATGCAAAAATAGGTAAATTAAATTAGTTCTTAAGAGTCATACAGCTAGTCGTTGGATAAGATGAAATAAAATGCAATGCTTATTATCACTCAGTGATACTGATGAAATACAAGGCCATTATTTTCTCTTTGTCCTTGGTTATGCACGCAGATTTCCTTGAAAGTGGTGCTCAGTCTAGGTAGTATGATTTGATGCCTGTTGAGGGACTTCTTCTCCCAAATTCCTATTAATGTATTTATTGATACTCTACAATATGCATAACCTGGTATACATAAGCTTTTTACCTTATATATAGTTGCTTGAGACACTAAGATTTCAGTCATTTCATACAACCTAACCTCTAGGAAGCAGAATTTCACATATCCTACTATTTTAGCAGACTTTTTAAATCCCACTGCTAACAGTTTGTCTGCAAGCAGAATCAATGAAACCAGGTTTCTAACAAATTTAAAAATTTATGTCTCTGTAATTAAAAATTTTATGTGGCTGGACATTCAGCAGCAAGTGTTGTGGACAGGCCAAAGTTTATGAATGTACTGCTTAACTCACCGATTTAACATATAGACTACCTAACTGATAGACTAACAAGAATAAGTTACTAAAGTCTATTTCTCACATTAGTAATGTTAATGTGAATATCACTTTTCAGGCATATTGTAGTGGCATTATATTCTGAGATTTGTATTGCCATATCATTTTGAATTCAACATTATTTTCTTGGGGCTGTCCTGTACAGGGCCAGGAGTTGGACTTCAGTGATCCTTGTGGGTCCCTTCCAGTTCGTGTTCATAGAATCATATGATTCTATGGTTATTACATTAGTTCAAAAAGTCAACACCAATAGAGCATCACCACAATATTTTTAGGCTAGAAGATATGTCTTTCATATAGCAACAATAAAATCCTTCCCATTTGGTTTGTAATTAAAGTGCTAGACATGCATAAACAGTTCATATCAAGCTCATGAAAGATTAATCTTCTGTCGAAGCAGAAAAAGTAAGCAAGCTTTATATGTTACCGATTTTTTTCTTGAAATCTGGGGTTTTTTTCCCCTCTCCTCTCTGTTGCTCACTTTGTAAGTTTCTCCATTGCACTCTTCCCTTTGCTTCTCATTGTCAATCATTTCACCTTTTTTTTCAATTTTTTTTCTCTCCAATATCTGGACCGATCTTTATTCTCTGAATCCCTCTAGTTATATTCTATTCCTGTCCTTCAGTTTCACTGTTTTCTCAAACTCATTTCATTGTTCATATCATATTGCTGAACCATTTCAATATGAAATATGTTCCTACCTTTCTTAGTACGTTTTCTGAAGTAAGATCATCATTCTGATGGTAGCATTCTCCTACCAATTTTTGTCATGCACCACTTTTTACTGTCCTCTACTAGTCACCATTTTCCAATGAGATATTTTATCTGTTCTTGACAAATTTCTTGCTTTTCCTTTCTTCCTCTACTGACTTCTAGTCTGCCTCTGCAGCCTTTTTAAATTTTCCTCTTGTCTTTGTTCTGTATCTTGTCTGTCACTGCCTCCCATTTTGTGTTCAGGAGTCCTGAAGTCCCTTTCCATTAAGTTTCCCCATTGCATCATCTAGATTTAAAAAGTATTTAAAACTTTCCCAACTAGAGCTAAACAGTATAATACAGGACCATATCTTGTATCCTTTGCCTATGGCAGGCAGTCTATTCCAAGATATCTCATTGAAGGAGTAATCTGAGTTTAGTTCCTAGCAGGAACACAGGATTCATAGTGACAAATGTAAGCCATCTGAGACATCACTAATACCTTCTTTTGTGTTTCTTCCAGTACCTAACAAACTCTCAGAGCTCAGGAAATTAAAATAACCAGATCATACAGAAGTAGAAACACAACTGGAGGTGCTTTTCAAAATGTATTTGGTAAAAATGAAGAGTAGGTATGAAGAATCTCTGGAAGCATTTTTCTGCAAACTTTTAAACAATAGAAAACTGAAAGTAAAAGCTAGCAGGCAGCTAAGTACAGGGAGAAGTTATTCCTCACCCTTGCTGGATGAAGAAAATAGAAGAAATAGAAGAAAATTTTGATCCTTACAAAGTAACCCCTTTTTTTTCTGTATTTATAAGTAGTTATTGTAAGTGAAAAGCTTAGTCCAAGGATTTCCTTACTGCATTCTACACATCTGCCTTAATACTGACCTTCAGTTGTCTTTCAGTCCATTTCATGATAAAGGATTAAGAGATTTTTCTGGTTTGCTTCCTGGGTTTTGAGTACAGCTATATATTCTGTAGAGAATCAAGGTAGTTGGAGACTGTTGTTTGGACTTGGTTCATGACCAGTTTGTATCAAAGCCTCAGTGGTTGGTAAGCTAGTTTAATATCCTGTCCTAGGCAATGGTTCTTGAGTGTGTGAAGAATTTATTTAATAACTTACAGTGTGCTTAGTTGGAAAAAGTCTGAGCTAAACACAATTGACAACAGAAGAACCCACCCTGTAAATATTTTAATGCACTCTGTTCATTTAACAGTGACAAGAAAAGTAATGCATAGTTCTAACTGGTAAAATTAACTGAGAATGTAAGTATTACCATTCAAAATTACTAGATTTAATAAGACAAGTTCTGATAAATCCATATCTCACAAATGGAAATGGAAGTCTTTGTTATAAATTTTTTGTGATGAAAGCAAAGAAAAATACAGAATTATAAGATCAGAATTTTAAAAAAATTGGTAATTATTTATTACTAATGTACATACAACAGATATCTTTGCATGTTGTTTAGACATCTACTTTTGATAACAGCTTGGTTGCCTGTACAGGATTAAATTTGAATCTAATAGGGAAGTCAAAAATATCTTGAGAATTTCGTAACTACATTCTACCAGTCAAAGCTCTTGTTGCCGTGGTTTAACCCCGGCCAGCAACCAAGCCCCACACAGCCACTCACTCACTCCACCACCAGCAGGGAGAGATTCAGAAGGGGAAAAATCTGGAGAACTCACGGTTGAGATAAAAACTTCTTAATAGGGAAAGCAAAACTGCGCATCCATCAAAGCAAAACAAGGAATTCATTCACAGCTTCCCATGGGCAGGTGTTCAACCGTCCCCAGGAGAGCAGGGCCCCACCAGTAATGGTTATTTGGGAGGACAAACGGCATCACTCTAAAGGTCCTCTTTTCTTTCTTCTTCCCCCCAGCTTTATATCCTGGGCATGATATCATATGGTATGGATATATCTCTTTTTAGTCAGTTTGGGTCACCTGTCCCAGCTATGTCTCCTCCCAACCTCCCATACACCCCTAGCTTTCTTGGGCCACACCATGAGCAGAAACAGAGGCAAGAAAAGAACTCTGTGAAGAAAATTAATTCTACCCCAGCCAAACCCAGAATACTTGTGCAGAGAAGTTGACAGATTTTTAAGTGGAAAAGGTAGCTAAAATATATTTCATGGTACATTATTTTTAAGGAGAAAATATAGATCATTGCTGAAAGAATTATGGAGCACTAAA